TAACAAACATAAAAAAGAAGAAGGGGAGATAAGGACGATAGATGTTTGATAGGAAAAAAGAAGCAAACCACACCAAAGCACCCGCCAACCACCCAGGGAAGCATTTAACACAAAAATTGTTTTTAACTCAGACACAAACATTCTTCCATCAACATAAAAGCCAGACTTGCCAAAGCCAAAATAAAATACAGCAATTTTCTTTATTTGTCACCACCATCTCAACACAATGTTTTGCAGTACTGTAGCAAATAAGAATTAAAATTACAAAATAAAGTAGGAAACATATATGAGCATGATGTCTCACTTTCTCACATCATAAAAATGTTTTACATTAACCATGTCTCCAAATCTATTCTACATTACCAACAAATTCGTCATAATATTATAATAAACACTGTATCTTAAAGTGAAGCATATGCACACTAATTTTCTTTTCTCTAGCTATAAAGGTCCTCTTAACTTGAGAAAAAAGGTCATTATCTACCCACATATCATTTCCTTTAACTTCTCATATATGCTTTGGTCTCAGTAACTGAAAGAAAGAAGAGAAGCAATTACCAAATTCTTCAAATCATTCACTCTGTGTAGGCCTATTCAAATGACATTTTAAACTCTTTCAATTGATCGCTTTTAAGGACAAGTAGGCCAACCCAGATTTCAGGGGTTTCCAGAAATCTTGACCTACACCAAAAGTCTGTCCCTGTGGTTTTATGCACCCAGCATAATTTAACAAAATTTGATCATTTTTGGCATAATTTCTGATTATTTTCCTTTAACATTCTTTGTTAAAAAAATCAGAATCGCATAATTTCACATTTTTTGGGCTCAGGTTACATAATTTCAGAATTTTGCTTGCATAAAACGACAGGGACAGAAAAGTGGGCATTGCTCTACCTATAGACTATGGGCTACTGGAACCCCCCCTCCCCCCTCCCTGGGGATTTTTGCTCACTATGATTTTCTGAAAGAGCACACTCAGGACTATGCACAAAAAAAGTTGGCACCAAAATGTTGGCAATCTGCGGAGTTATTGCCCCTGAATTGTCGAAAATTGAGCAAATTAACTTTTTTTTTTAATTCACTTTTTTAGTTGGTATTCTGATTTTCTTTTAATTGAGACTAAAGTTGGCGTTGTGGGTTAAAGAAAAACAGTTATACTGAACATTTTGTGGTAGTTATTTACATAGCTTATAGAGAAAAAAATAATGTTTTAAGTCCGTTTTCTCTAAAAATTGAAAACAGCCGCACAAAGTTAGCGTAACATACTCCCTGCTGGGTATTACACAACAAAGGAAAAGCTACACATGCAAAACATTTAGTTCAACAGAAAATCAGTACAATGCAGAGTTACAGACAGGCCTTAGCAATGCAGATGGATATTGGCTATTTGTGTACATGATGTATTATATTGAGTTGTCTCGTACAAAGAAATTTATATAATTGACAAAAAGATTATAGCATCTAGAAATTGACTTGCATAGAGCATAATATGTAACAGAAGTGAGTTGTTTGGGTGCTAGTTATCCAAATGTTATACTGTAAGTCAGTTGGTGTTGCATGTAAAGTCTTATTTAGATGCTTTCTATGTCATCAGTTCATCTTCACTGCTGTCACTTCCAGAATCTGAAATCTCATCTTCTTCATCACATATGATAGAGGAGATGGTTTTCATCTTTGTCTTCCTCTTGTTCTGTATCTGATCCTGACAAAATATCAACCAATTGTTGAGGGACCAAGTCTTTGCACCACTCCACTGAGAGCACTCCACCATTATCTCTCTTCCAACCATGATCTTGCGGATCAGGTACATTTGTATTAATGGTTGAGCAGATGTGCTTGCTTCCATATTGAAGTTTAATACTATTAATAGTTTACGCCTAGGATGTCAGCTTCAGGGCTTCTCTCGCATGGTGTCAAATCCATCAAAGCATGACAGTAAGCTTTGACCTTTTGCCATGTACTTTAGCCTTACAAGGTCATGATGAAACTTGTTAGCGCTAGAGTAAGCTGATTTTCCGTACAAGTGACTAACAAACTTTTCCAGATTAGAAAACAGTTCTGAAGAAACAGTTTCAGATGTTCCTAGCTCCTTGAATGAAACAGCAAACTCTGGGTGCCTGTGGAGAATGGTGAGCGGCTTCACCTTTCCTCTCTAGACAAAATCGCTAGACTCCTTACATCCAAAGAATGCATGGAGTCCAAGAATAGAATCCTGTAAATGTGTTTCCATTTTGTAACAGAGAGTCTGAATGTGTAGACATATTCTTCTTTTTCCCAACCCGTGTCAAAATTCAAACTGTGTGTGAAATGTTGAACAAATGCAATCATCAGTAGAAAGACATCAGTGTCTGGGGACCGAATAATGATGTCTGTTTTTGGAGTAGCAATGTTCTGATCAGAGAAGATGGCATGCACGATCAGCAGTGTGTCTGCTTCCTCATGGCTGGAGGGTTACTCTGGAACAGGTCTTGAGTCTGTAGTCTTTCCATCACTGCTACTGAGGACAAAGCACTGTTGGTCACTTGCAAAGTATATTTCTCTGTTCAGCAACATCATTGCATAACAATCTTGTTGCCATACATAATAAAGTAAGAACTGTGTCAGTTGCCTTTTGTTTTCATTATTCATATGGAGCACTTTGAAATCTTTGATAATCTGTTTGTGATCAAGGTGGGTTCCACCTTAGAATTGATAAAACACGGGTCAAGCTGTTTTTTTGGAATATGGATTGATCCTTTCTTTGTTCTGTCAACCTCTGGTGTCGGCTGGGGAATGTATGGCTGCTCTTTGATTTCTCCTATGACTATTCCATGAGTTGAATGTGTGGATCCAGTTCCCGATAAAGTTTCCTCATTCAAGTCAAAATTGTCCCAACAGAAGTGAGTGATGAGGTTGTTGTCAGGCATGATGGATGGGGCCAAACTACCTGAAGAAAGCTGTATACTGTCACACATGGCAGTTTCCACTTCTGAGAGAAATGAGTGGGATACAGAATGTCCATGCCGGTTTAAGATATTGATCAGCTGAGTGTTTCCAGTTGGATGACGGACACAAATACCAATCATAATATGTTAAGGCTTTTTCCATTCCCCTTTCATCACATTGTAGCATATGTCCTGACCTGTAGAAACAACTCTCCTGTGGCATCTTGTTGACTGTGCTTTTCCATTCTTAGAGTAAAGAAAGGAAAGAAATATTGTACATACTTGTGGAATCTGCAAAGTTTCTGTGCGCAGATCTGTGTCTGCTGAAAGCCAAGGTAACTTTTCACTTTTCACTTTCATTGCATCCATCAAGAACAGGTCGTCGTATCACCTTTGCCACTTCTATAACAAGTCTCTTCAGAGGTTACATTTTCAAAGGCAACTCCGACAGCCTGCCCAGTTGAAATTTCATCAGAGTACACGAGATCACTTGTCCCAGAATATCTCTGCCAGAAGTTGATCCTGGACTTGAAATGCTTCACAAGTTTCTCCTCAACTTATATGTCTTGTAGTACTTGTAAAACTCTGGATGATTTGTTTGCATGAAAGTGCAATACATCTCTTTCAAAAGACTAATCCTAACAACAAGGGCCAGCGCAGTGACATGTTCTTCCACAAACTGACGGACGTGCTGAAAAGCCTTGGAGTGGGCTTTTTCCTCTGCAGCTGGAGCTTTCTTTCTTTCTTCAGCTTCTGCCTTTTCTTCTCCAGAACAGTATTTAGATGTATAAGCTTGTGAACATCGATACTCCTTACGTGTGAAAGCTTTTCTACATGGTTCATGATACCATGCCTCTTGGGCAATAAGAACAGCATTTTCAATTTGGCCCCGAAGTTTTGATTCAGTTTTCCTGTTTACAGCTTCTTTTACAGAGGCTTCAGATGTTCTGTTAACATATTTGACAAGTTTATGAACTTTCTTGGTTCCCATGCTGTCATGTGTCCATTCAGTAGTCTTTTCACAGAAAAGGCATTAAATGGGCAAGAGGCGTGTTGAAAACGATTGCTTTACCTTTTTCCTAGTGGAGCAAGACCCTTCTTGTGCTGATTTGTCAGACTCTCCTGATGAATGCCTTTTTCTTAGACTCCTCAAATTGATGAATGTATTGTAGCAGTAATCATGAAACCCATGTTGAGCAGTCAAACTCAGTCGGTATTCTTTCACAAACTGAGGATAGTCTATCACTGTCAGTTTCTGCAAGGCACCTTTGTGTTTTTGATTTTTGAATGGTGTCCCAGTGTCTCTCAGTGAGGGGTTTTATTTCATCATGGCCTTTGAAGTTATAGTTATGCACTGCACATGTCCTTTCTTCAATCTGTTCTTTCTATATCTGAGACAAAAGTACTCATGCCGCCTTTTTGACGTTTTTAAAATGACGCGCGGCAGTTTTGTATTTTTTCAATATAGCAATAGCAGGGGTCATAACTCCTTAACTCATATTTATTTTGCACACAATCCTTCTCATTTTGTGCCTCAAACTTTGAGTCAAAGTGTGTACCTATCAGAAAACTATTGTATCAAGTTAAAGAAGATTTGAAGCAATGGAATTAATCATTTCTATAGATTTTGAGAAATTAGCCTTTGAATTTTCTTTTTTCCTCTTTGCACCTTGTAATTAATTAGAAAAATTTTTTTTTTACAACACTTACATCATCTTACAATATTTGAGTTTTACATCATATGAAAGTACACATTTTTGGCTTCACAGAGAACCCCAAAATAAAAATCAAGTATTTTCTTAATTTCTGAACAATCAAGGGCCGTAACTCTGTAGATTGCCAACATTTTGGTGCAAACTTTTTTTTGGGAAGTCCCTAGGTCCTACCCTTTCAGAAAATCATGGTGGCGAAAAATCCCCAGGGGGAGGGAGGTTCACTCCCAGTAGCCCATAGCCTACTATAGGAGAAGTTTGGTTTCATTGGTGGGTATATTTAATTTGTTTGGTTATAGACAAAACTCTCCTTGTATTTTGAAGAAACTGAACAAGGGGCAAAAACTTTACCTTCGATTTTCTAAAAAAAACAGCATTTTTCGGGATAGCCTTGTTGTGCATAAAAGCGACCAATTATATTATAGAGGTCTACTTTTCCCAAGCCTAGTCAAACAATGTTTCAAATTGAGGAAAGTACCAAGAGATATTTCATAGCGTTGTATCCCATTGGACAGCTGGCCTTGAAAACTTTAAAATACCCTTCATAACCATCTCTTTTGAACCACCGTAATCCCTCCAGATTAGCAATTTGCATCTAAAATAACATCATTTACTTTCTTTCCCTCTTTTTCTCAACTAGCTTTCAACTCCTTTGATCATTATCCATTCACTCAAAAACATCCACACTTCACACATACAGAATCTAAAGAAACATCATAAACATCATTACATAATACATACTCCATACATGCACAGAAAACACTACATGCGATGCTATCTCCGTCTTTTCTGAGGGGGTTCTGTCGGTGTGGCAGGACTGCTGTTGGATGAGGGCGTGTTGCGGGTCCGTTTGGTCCTTTTTGGCGACGGCCCTGGAGTGTTGGAACCCGAGGAATGATGGGAGGACTTACTGCTCGAACTGTGGCTGGATTTGTGCTCTCCCCTGCTCGATGATGAGCCGGACTTACTGTCGTGTTTACTGGATGAGGACGAAGACTTGCTGTCAGATTTGGAGTCAGACTTTGAAGAATGTGATGATGACTTTGAATCTTGTTTTCCAGATTTTGAGGAACTTTTTGTCTGCGAAGCTGAAATCAGAAAACATTTCACTAACAAAATTAGGTCTGGAACATTAACACAAGAAATCATCATCATCAATGCCTCTCACCCCTGGCAGGGTACAGGCCACATACAAGTAACACAAGAAATATCTATGACATATTATCTCAAAATAAAAATATGCAATGCAAATGTCAAAGAAAAGACTTATAAATTCACATTTCAATGACAATTTTTTAAGGAGACAAACCAGCAATATAAACATTTGTGTTGAGACTTTTGTAAACTTTTATGTTAGAAGCATCAACTCTAGATCTAGCTGTAGGTGATGTGAAAAATTATCAAGAATATAATGGTCATATATGTTCAAAAGCACTATTATTCAGCAAACATAATTTTGCATTGCCAGTGAGCACTGGGCACGTGCAAGTGTGAGTCAGTGTGCTGAGACTGCAAAAGATTGTTTTCCTTCACCTCTTCCTGGCTTGTCAATCAAAGACAAGTACCGCACAAAACCTGTGCAAAGCAGGAAACTATATCTCTTCAAAGCAGATGCAGCATAATTCACTCTCTCTTGAAAAGTCTGCTGGTCAATTTCATTTTCACTTTAATTCAAATTCAAAAGAATGAAAGCACCTCCAGTTTACCGATATAGAGTACTAAAACTTTGGCTCCTTTTCTATGAAAATAGTGCAGGAAGAGTTCAAATATACCCTTCCTGACTCAACATCTAGAAAATACTCAAAGGTGTGTACCTTATAGGCTGATTCGCTACAAATCAAAAACTAATTTGATTCTGTCCATAACAAAACCTTAAAAACAAATGTTCTCATCTGAACTAGCCCTCCCTTTATCCAAAGAGTTTTTCTGGGGCCTGAACCACAGAAAGCTAAACTTGTGAAAGGAAGAATTTAATTCCTTCCCTTAAAATTCCTGCTCACACTAATTTTTAGCTGCATAAATACTTTACTTTCTATTTCCACGTGAGCTGCAATCCAGTTCCACCTTCCCTAACAGACAACCACCTATAAGCTACATATGACCACTACATCCCTTGCCTTTTTTTCTGTAATGACATAGTATAGATTGTAAAGTGCATAAAGCTTGCTGTTGAGGAGGGATTTGTGCTACGCAAATGCTATCTATCTATTATTATTATTATATATGATGTCCATCTGTTTAAAACAACCACTATTGTCCTCAACAATGGTGGCAATCTTGAAAAATTTTGACTAATCGACATGCAATGCAGACAAGTTTAACAGCTGAATGACTCACTTTCAGTTTTAGCTGTTTCTGCAGGAGTATTTATGTACGAGGTCCTGGGAAAACTCTTCTCACACAGGTCCACCAGGTCACTTTCACGGAGTCCAAATTCACCATTCTTATTTGGAAACGGCACAATTTCAGACTCGTTCTGAAAAGAGAAAAAAAAACCCATTTCAGTATCTCAATACATAAAAAAGAATGGGTTTTTTTTTTCCAATCTCTGTCCACTAGGCTTTCATAGTGTAGACAAGAAAAGAAAACATCTTTATTCATAAAAATTCAGATATCAGCCACAAAGCAACAAATAAAAACTTGACAATATATATACTATTAACTATAAACTGACCATTCGAGTACTGAGAGGACTCCACTTTCTAAAATTCTGCTATGAAATAACGAAGGGATACAAACAGACACATATCCAGCAAGTAAAATTCCCCAAAGCTGACAAATATTTGAAAAATAGGTATATATCTCTTGTGCTGTTGGCAATCTGAATTCATACCTCACTCACTTCTTACTTCAAAATTCTGCCTCTACATGGTCAACTAAAATTAAATAATTGGGATGACCATCTCAGGTCGTAACGTTAACTCTGGTCTTTGGTGGGCACCCAAACATAGTCTGCACCAACTGACACTACTTTCATCAGTGTTGCTAGGGCCACACCCTGATAAAATTAAAACATTCCTTGTTATGCTAACATGCAAACAAACTGAACTAAAAATACGGGAGTTATAATTACATAACTAACTCAGCAAAAGCTGAATGTGGAACACATGCAGTATCAAAGATTGAGGAAGTTGAGACTCAAGAATTGGAAGCATGAAAAAATTGGTGTGATCCCCAATACAAGAATCTGGCATTTTGATGAGAATCTTAAATGATGGTCTTTTTCCCATCCCCATTAAGTCTGGTAAATTCAAACATACTATCTTCGACTTACCAAAGCTTGCAAGTCGTACAGTGTTGAGAGATGTGTCCACACATCCTTTGACGAGAGCTTTTTGTGGCTTGAAATGAGACGATCATGAACTGAAATCATCTGAAAGTGTCGGTTTACACCTACAAACAGAAGAAGAAAAGAATATATATTAGCATTGAGGATACAGTAAAATTTGAAGACAGTGATGTCAAAGGACTTTTATTAAAAACTTTGTGGTTGACCATCAAGTGGACTGACACCAAAGAAATTTTCTTTCCCCCTCACTTCCTGTGTGCAGCAGGTGGTGAAGTGAGAGAGTGCCTTTCTTTTGCAGGACAGGATCTTAGTCTACAAAACACGTATTGTGTGACGAGTATTGACAAAACGGTGGACTACTCAGCTATGGTGTGTGTGTGTGGGGGGGGGGGGCAGAAAGAGAGAGAGTAAGCCGAGAGGTATGATGAAATGACGAAATGACCAAAATTCTTCCCGTTGCTAAGCAAATCTGCTGGAATTATTTGTGTTAAGATAAGTTGCACAGAATAAACTGGGGATTTTAAATCCTTTCGTATTAACAGGAAATTCAAGCTACAATTGTTCATGCCACACTAAACAGAATCTAACTTTTAAATTTAAGTTGTTAAGTCGTTAGTTGTTATAAGTAATACCTGTGTCTAAGAAAAAGAGGACTCATTTAAACACCAATATATATCTCAGTCATGTTTGGATAAATTTCAACAAAACTTTGTCCAAATAAGTCTTTAAAATGCTACCCAAAATAGAGTAAAACACAAAATAACTTCTAAAAAATCAACCTCCACCTTCTTTAAGTTTATTTGGCCATGTCGATTCAAAATAAATTAGTTCTTTAATTTTAATGCACAAATGCAATGAATACACACATTTTCATTTGGTTGATTTTTAAGAAATTGGCATTTTTAAACACAAATATTTAGCTGAGATTTTTTTAAGTTGAAATTTCTTGAACAGCCTGTCCAACAGCACTCTGTCAATTTTCTTCATTTGATAAATTTGACATCCTCTAAATAAACTTTATTTGATCAATGTTTTGTTGAAATTGGTGCAATGATGACCGAATCATTACCCTTTAGATGGGTCCTCTTTTTTCCTTTTAGACATACAACTATAGCTTGTTCACTTTTGTCTCACTGCCCTTAAAATAAGGTTAAATGAAATTGAACTCTGTTTTATTATCTTCTCTGACCTTTCCATGGGTCTAAAAATTGGATGACCTAGAGAATTTAAAAGCCCATTCATAAAGGTCATTGCAAGCTAGATTCTAGGTTCTGAGACGTTTTCTATTAACCTGAAGAGGGTAAAAAATAATAGGGGATTTACAGCATACACTTTTTGTTTTGTCGCAGGCCTGCAGAAGTACCATGCAAAGTTTCAAGGGCAATGATAAAGTTAATAAATTAACTAGAATTGTTTTTACGGAGACAGACGAAGTCAAAATTGAACAAGCTATGGTGTGTGAGGCCTTAATAAACTATATATGGGCCTAACTAGGAAATTTAATACCCTACAACAACTAAACATTATACTTTCACTACCATCTCATTATCTCCTGCTCAGATATTGTATACATAGCCGTTATAGATTTTTAATAGCCCTTTTCTTGTTTCTTTTTATTCACTTTACTACATGAATATCGACTTTCGGCGTACTTCAAATTAACGATTTTTAAAAAATTAAAATATAGGCTCTATTTGAAATTTGATGCTCGTTTTTATTCGACAAACTACTAGATCTATATCACACTGTCTGAGCCTAATTGCATAGCGGTCCATATATGTACGGGGACAGAATCAAAGAGAATTAAAGCAAAAATTTAACACCACTACTAACTACTAACACTACTTTAACTTTTATTTAGTCTATACTATACTACTCTACTAGACCTACTTAACTAAGGGGGAGCACAAAGAGAATGCTTGCTCACGATAAAAGCGACCACGATGGAAGCGCTTGAAAAGTTGTTTAAGATTTGCTTCTTGTTGCCCACAAAAAGCATGCTTGCTTTATCGTGCCAGAGATATCAGGCGACACTTGGAAAGTGTAAAGAATCTAAAGTTCATTCTTTCTCGTAAGTAAGCGTGTACTTGGTGCCGCCCC